TCTTGGTTTGGATACTTAGCTCAAATCAAAATCTATTATTTGAGTGCATGTCCATTGCTTGCAGTGGATTATAATTGTTAACATGGTACTTTGTACTATCTGTATGGTTTCAATTGTTACTATATATGCACTTCATGCTTACCATGGCTGTGTGTTATAGTGTTTCCCATTTTTGTGGTAACTAAAACAGACTTCAGGATGAATATTTGACTGAATATTTAGCATGTTCTCCAAACTTATAAAGCCCTTAGTTGTATGTTCCTATGTTTTTGGTTTCTAAAACATTTAAGAAGACTATGGATAGTGCAGTGGAATTGGTTCTTTCTAATTTCTCAGCTGTTGGCCTAGGTGGCAGCTAATTCTTTTCTCTTTAATGTACATCTTTAGGCTGTCTGCATCTTTTACCTTAAATATCTGAATGGCAGTCACTTTAACAATTGTGCTGCTTCTGGAGAGAGTGTGGTGAACGTCATCTTACGGCAGAAAGTAGTCTTCATCCCACCATTCTGAGAAGTTGTGCTCATGGTAGCTGTTGTAAGAATGTGGGAAAGCTGACCAGAGCTACGTTTGGACCAACAGAGCATCATTTAACATCCACGGTGTGGTTAGGTTGGCCTATCCCTAACTCACCAAAAGTGTTTTTTATATATTCTCTGAAAGTAGAAAGCCCCTTTAAAGCTGTCATACATTGTTCAACTCATGAAACATTTTGTCTAGTCTATGTGTTTGAAAATGCCCTCCATCATTCCTATGTTCAATTGTTCACTGTTCCCATTATGGCATTGATATTTTTAGGCAGACATGGGCAAATTGTGCAATGGCAAGCACTGCCAAAATTACAGGGCTTCCCTAGATCTGTGATTTCCTCAGTGGAGCCGGGAGGCTACATCTTGGGCATACCACACCTAGAAACTGCAGTGTTTTGTACGTTCTGTTTTTTTCTTTTGTGCATGTTTTATTATGATATGTTTTGTTATTATAAACATGCAAGAACAAGCGCTAGTTAAAGTATTCTTTCATTAAAAAGTCAGGAAATCATGTTCAGTTGACGTAATTACCTAAATTTACAGGGTATTCACTAAAGGGTAAAGAGTTTGAAGAAGGCAGGAGAAGTCAACAATCTAGGACAACATAGCTGAAACGGAAAATGGTCTGAATTGGACAATTTTTCCAAATCAGCTATTTTGACCTAGAATGTTCACTTCTGCCTTTTCCAAACTCTTCATCCTTTTGTGGATAACCCTGTTAGTTTTTATTATAACAAATCATACATTAAAACAGGGATGCACCAATCCCAGGAGCCCCGTAGCCAATGCTCCTTAAAAATGAAAGCTGCCTCCTAACTTTGGAGTTTTTCTCTAGTCTAGTCTTGGAGCTGGAGGAGTATCTGTGCATGTACAAAGTACGGTACTTAGTATCTGTGCATCCCTAGTTTTTATACTGCATTGTAAACATACCAGCTGAAAGCTAAATCATGCTTGCAGTGCCTCTGTACGTTGATTTGAAAGGAGGGGGAGTTGTTTAGGTGAGTTTTCAGACAAAAGTGAACTTGGGGCGAACACCATCAGTAACCCAAACAGCAGGTCAGAGGCAGGACAGGGACATAATATCTGCAGGATTGTAGGCTGAAATATTGTCACTATCCTCATGCTATGTGCAGCTACATGGCACATGGGGGATAAGATTTCAATATCTGACCATTCTTGTACAAGTGTTTTATCAGTGTATATAATACATATATATATATATATATTTCAGGCATGAACTTAAAAACTGGGCTGGAGTTATGCTTCACAAAACACCTGGCGAATGCCCAGGGTGTAGGTAACCAAAATGCCAAGTCTTAGTTGCTGTTGTCATTGGAAGCACATGTCATGTGGATCCTACAAAGAGTCTGCTACCTCGTAGACTGATCTGACTGGCTGAAGAATTCTACATTTATATTGACACTCTTGGAGTAGCTCCATTGCAAACTGGAAATGTGGTATTGGGCAGTACTTGAGAAGTTATTATAAATATGTTAATAATACCTCTGTAATAATCAGGATCTTCTACTTGAAAGTTGCCATCCAGGTTTTCTCCCAGTGCATGGCTGACAGCCTATATAGGACACTGTATTTCACAAATATTCCTTTCAATAGAAAATTAATGAGCAGTGTAGGGAACTGTATAAATAATGCAATTTATATAAGGATCAATTGTTTTTGTTTACATGTGGCCCCCAACTAATTTTATGCAAAGTAATTCTGTACTTAAACTATTTTCAATGTTGCTTGATTCTGCTTGTGCAGTATTTACTTCGTGTTGCTCACTTGAAACACCTAAGACTGTTATGCTTCAACTTCAGCTGAAATGCTTTTATACTTCTAGTAAACACTAATATTCCCATATTTTTGTGTGATTTTCAATTGTTTTTAATGTATTTTTTGTTGTTGTTGTCCATTTAATTGAGAACAGTTCATTTAGCTTTTCAGTAAAGGATTATAATGAACATGTGCAGGCTTAGTTTTACAAAGAAAAGGTGGAGCAAAAGGGTATCAAGCATGTGAGAATGAGTGTTATGGGGCAACTTAAAGAGGAACTTTATCCTTATCTTAAAAATGGCAACATAGATTCCTTAAGAAATGTTTAGTAATGACATTCTACAGATACTTATCGATAATTTCAGGCTTTATTCTTTACCTATCTGCTTTATCTTTTCCTCCCTATTCTTTTCACAGTGGCCATTTTCACTAAGGGCAGATAAATCCGTCTTCCTTTACTTCCTGGAACGCTGGCATATGTGACTGAAACATGTAACAATGCACATCATCTCAGGGGGAAAAATGCCTTTCGCTGAGATCTCATGAGATTTTGCAGTTTACAGGTGAGATTTCCAAGCAATGCACTGCTGATGTAGCCTCCCCTGGATGCATCTCTTAGGCCCAGAATACATCAGTATTGCATTATATAAAGTTTTATAGTTCAGGTAGTTTGCACAAGGTGCACAAGCAAAGTTCGTGCTGGAAAGTCCAAAGTCAGATTGGGAACTGAAGCCAGATCGGTAGAAGAAAATCATCTACAAAGCAGGGGTTGGGTCAGGTCACAGAAGTTCTGTATGCGGATGCCCTGGTCAGCTTAAATGTGGATATTGTTGAATGTTCTGCTCAGTATACCATATTCACATCAGTAAGATTGATATTGGGACTGCTATTAATAGCCATATTACAATTTTTGCTGACGATACCAAACTTTGTAAGGTAGTAAACTCGACAGAAGGCATAGAAATACTACAGGAAGATTTGGATAAAATAGGGGGTGGGCATCTACACGACAGATGAGGTTTAATATTGAGAAGTGTAAGGTTATGCATTTTGGAGTTAAAAATAAGCTTCTCATTAATGGGCGTCCACTGGGGGAAACAGAGGTGGAAAAAGATTTTCTAGTGGACTGTCCCCTTAGTAAC